CACTTAAGAAAAACAGACTTTACAAATTAAGTACTCAACCCAAGTTCTACTGAAAAATGAGTGCTAGGTTAAGTGACAAACGTGGACTACACAGGAGTTCAGGACATGCCAGTTCCTTTCATTACATCCTCTGTACTAGAATCCAGCATACTGTAATCCCAAAAGTAATGTACATGCATCACAGCCCAAACTTCATTTCCAAATGGAAAATATGCATTATACTACTTTCATTAATCATTTTTAAAGTCTTCGCTTTTGAAAAAAAATAAAGCCTTTTTGTCCAAGTGGCTTCAAAGGAACTCTTAAATAGGCATGAACCTTGCTTAACGCTGCTGTAATCCAACTGAAGGACGTTTCAATCTTTTTGATGAAGTAGGATTTTTGCACCATGAAATTAATCTCTCAGCTCTGATAAATGTGGTATGAAGCAGACATATGAAATGGAATGGAAATGTCTGCGGTTTTTCTTTCCAAGACCTCAGCAAATGACCAAACTTGGATTGGGGGGAGGGGGGGACAGAGCGCAAACTGGAATAATCTGATAATAATTTCACCGACGATTCGATGCACACTATGACACTGACAATACTGGAGACATTGTTTCAGTAACCAAGTGACTGAAAACAAGCCAGATGACTATAGGCTAATGACATGCTGAGGGAAACTGAGATAGAAGAGATGATTCTTCCAAGCCCTATCTCCTAACTGAAGGATGCATGCATACAATGCAGGGAAAAAAGACTAGGCACATTGATAAAGTGTTTGTTCTACCTGTGAGTGTACTAGTTGTCCACAACCTGGACAGTGACCTTCCTCTGAGCTGCGTTGAGCTACCAACAAGGTAATATGGTCCAGCTGGACACCAACAGGAAGGCTACTCTCCAGTGTTCATAAAGTTCTAACAGTCCTACCTGGTTTGGCTTGCTTTGGCCATCCTCATGAAGTTGGCCACCAAACAAGAGACGGGGTGGCTGGTGATACCCGGAAACCATGCGCTGTATTACGTTATAAACACAGCCACATAGGACTCAGGTAGAGGTGTGTCACCTCAGGCAAGCAAGTTTCATAGCCTCTTCAGGCCTCAGTTTACTCATCTACAATCTGGGGATAATAGTAGCTCTTTTGTGGAATTGTGAAAGTTAACATGAGATCATCACTAAAGCCCTTGGCACAGTGCCGGTCTCAAGACTTCCTGAAGCACAGACATGAAATACACTGGCTGGGCACCCAACTTCAAACACATCCAGCACAGAGGTCGAGTCACCAAGCAGTACATTTGCTTCCACGTTCTTTCTCTACTTTGCAGAACTGACGCTTCTCGGCCAAGTATTTACGTAGGGCAGAGGTGCCATCAGAGAGGGGTTTCTCCGGCGTCCGCGTTCCGGCGCTTGCGTCCCCATCCCCTCCGGGAGTGAAGCTGGCCCACGCACACCAACGGGCACTCACGGATTTCATCAACAGGTGCAAAAGAAAACGAGCGCCAGGCACAGGGGCGGGGCGGCTTCTAAATCAATCCCCTGGGATCTCTCTGAATCTGTAACGTGTCCCGGCGGAGCGCGGGGCATAAAAGGCCACAACCGGCTCTCCAAGAACGCGACCGTCAGGCGGGCGCGGTGAGGGCAGACCCCCAGGAGGTGCTGCGGGCCACCGCGTCCCGGGCCCCGCCAGAGGGGCACTCGGGCGTCCCCGGCGTCGCCTCATTCCAACAAGGGCGCCCCCCAGCCTTCGCGCAACTCCCTCCCCCCCAACCCCGCACCCCGGCTGTCTCCACGCCTCCCGGCCATGGTCACCTCGGGGAAGGGAGGTGCCCGTTTCTCGAAGTCTCGGCACGGCAGGCGCCCTCGCCTCGGGCGCCGCTCCCCGGGGGCGCCGTGGGGTCGCACTCACCGAGCGTGGCCACGGTGCCGGCCTCGAAGAGCAGGCAGTCCCCGCGGCCTCGCGCCTCCAGCAGGACGCTGCTCTCCCCCGCGGGGTCCAGCCGCCCGAGCAGCCGCAGCCCCTTGCTCAGCGCCATGGGCGCCGGGGCGCGTCCGGCCCGAGGGCGCGCAGCCCGTCTCCGCTCCCCGCGCTCCCGCAAGTGCCGGGAGTTTCACTTTGCGCCGGCTCCCGGCCCCGCGCAGGCTCCTCCCCGGCCTCCTCCCAGGCCTTCTCTCCCGCCCCCTTCCCCCTCTCCGCCCTCGCCGCGCCGCCCGGGGCAGGTGAGG